GTCAGAAACAAAGAGGAAAACTCATCCTGTCACAACGTTAACGTCTCCTTTCTGCAACTTTGATGCCATTTTCCTGACATCGCCCACATTTTTTAGATCCTCTGCRTCCTTATTTTTCATCGATGCGTGGTTCTCTCTGGCTCTTTTGTTTCACCACTGTCTGCCACTCTAATTGTTTGCACATCTCACTCTCCCGGGGACGCACAGGCATGGCCTTATTATCTCAGCTGATCAATGTGATTTATCGGTTCAAGGAGTGAGACATGCAAACTGTCTCATTTCTCAGGGATAAACTGGAGAAATCAATCTCACCCACACCTGATTAACTTGTTCTCAACTCCGAAACTCTTCTTCTCCGTTTGAATTGCTCAGGTAAATCTTTAAAGCTCAAGATAAATTTTTAATGTGCCTACAGAAAAACACACTTTATTACACATTTATACTTTTTTAGACAATTTATCAGTGAAAAAAAACAACAACCATGTCATGAGTTTGCATTTGGTGTGTTTTTCTGCAGTTATGCTGATTAATGCGTATGCTGATGCAGTGTGCATTAATTTGCCAAGATGCAGATGGCCTTCTTGTTAACATAATYACGTTAGCCCTCACGAGGACAGCACGATTGCATAAAGCTGTGCAGATAATTCCCACAAACATTTGATGGCAATTGCTGTCATTTTGTATCAGCGATTTATTTATTTATTTTATTTTATTGAAAATCAGCATCATGTAGAAGAAAGTATGAAAAGTGACACACTCAACACAGACTGACTCATTTCTATTGGTTTTGCACAATTAAGTTTATATTCGATACCTACTGATAAAGGCATGGCGACAATAGGACCCTCGTATCAACTAATGGATTAAAAGTTGCTCTTATTTAAGTAAAATCTTTATTATCCTTGATAATGTGTCCCACTGTGCACCTGCCAGCGTGYGACTGCAAATAAACAAATGGCAAGCTGAGGTGCTAACAGCATGGCTCACAATCGGATCAATACCAAACAGCATCCAAAAACCAGCCTTTAAACCCAATAAGATGCTGTGTAATGTGTGTGAAGCACCTGAAACRTATCTACAGCTCAGCAGACAAAGAACTTTTAATATACAAATTTGAGCTCATTTCTTGCCCCAGAGTTTATGAATAAGTTGTTTTTTGTTTTTAGCACCCCGATTAGGATTCTATAATGTTTTAGATAACTGTACATTTATTTCCTGTTTAATTATAAACTAAAATCAGTGTGTTACACAATATGTGTTAGTTATTCAGTCTCTAGTTGTCACTCATCACCGGAGTCAATGAAATCTGAAAACATTAATGGGGAATGACTTTGCAAGTGGGCTGTTAAAGCTAATWGCAAAACTGAAGCAGAACAGTAGCTAAAAAGTAAAAGGAGTAAAATAATGAATAAATGGTTTATCTAGCAAAACACTAGCTAATAAAAGTAGCAAAAGGCAAGTAGCAATAATTGACATAATAATAATAATTGACAGCTTGGAGCTAAAACTAATAATAGACTAGTTAAAYGCAGCAAAAAGCTAACTCAATGTATCCAAGGGTTAGCTAAAAAAGCCAAAAGTCTAGCCAAAAGGCTATGTATCAAAAGGTTTGCTAGAAGCTAAGTTTTAAAAAAAACTGTTTAAAACTTCAAATGAACAAGAAGCAATAGAAATGCTAAAAGTATCAAAAGGCAGCTAGCTTTTTGAGTAGAAGCAAAATGATAAACACTAAAATGGTAAATGGACTGAACTTATAAAGCGCTTTATCAAGTCCGTCCAGACCCCAAACCACTTTACACTGACATTCACCCATACATGGTGGTAAGCTACACTGTAGCCACAGCTGCCCAGGGGCACACTGACAGAGGCAGGGCTGCCATGCACCGGCACTACCGGACCCTCTGACCACCATCAGCAGGCAAGGCAGGTGAAGTGTCTTGCCCAAGGACACAACGACTGAGACGGCTGGACAGGGGAATTGAACTGGCAACCTTACGGTTCCAGGACAACTCCTCTAACCACTCCACCACAGCTGCCCAAACACTAAGCAGACAAAATCAGCACAGGTACTCTGATGCTGATTTTAGAGAATGTTTAGAGAACAGGTAAAAAACAACAAGGTGAAGTTTCTGCAGAGGCCAGTTAAAAGCCAAGATCCAAATTCAACAATTTCTGGTTTGACGTGAAAATATCCATTCATACTCTGCACAGAACTGGAGCAGTTTTGGGCATAAGGATGGAAGAAAATTCCAGTGTCCAGAGAGAGATTTATAAGTGAGATTTATTCTCACAGACTCTGTGATCGCAGCCAAAGGTGCTGGTAATAATAAATGTACTAAATGTCAAGGGGTGAATATTGAAGCAATCACTTATTGTACAAGACATAATTTGATTTAATTGGTTGGCTTACACTGTGTGCACTTGATTTATTTAACTTTGACAATGATGAAGGATGTTTTGTAGAACAATTTTGAACCAAAAATGCCTTTTTTTTACCATGATTAATTCATGACAGCATAAAAACATAAAACATACAGAGGGGTTAAATTTTTTAAAGACACTATAAATAACAATTTAGTGCAATGGAAAAAAATAACGAAAGTCAACTTCATTTTTACCAACTACTCATTTTAAATCCTCCAAGAAGCAGAGACAAACCAACAAACCTTTAGGTGGACGCAGGACTTTCTAGCTCCGTTGTGAATAGAAAGATCAGAGGATATAAGACAAAGGCAAGGGGTTATTTGGGGACCAGGGGTGGGATTTATAAAACTGGCGTACGCACAATTTGAGCCCAAAAACTTGCGTACGCCACATTTTATACCAAGGTTGTGATTTATAAAATCCAAACTTGACGTGAAAATGTGCGGTGCCTCACTCCAGCTTTGATCCATGTGTAGCTCATTTTGGAGACGTGAAACTGTGACACAGATGGTGAAGTGGTGAATTAGAGCCACAATGTGTAATGATCACTGTCAGATATTTAATTTACCTTCATCAGACTTAGATTTTTATTCAACTTTATCATCAGCTTTATTAACAGTAATTTTTATGCTTCTGCTGCTGCTGCTGAGCCATGAGGAGCTTTGAAATAAAAAAAAATCTTAAATAAAAGTTCCCGTGCGCAACTCCCTTCATCTGCTTCCTCCTCTGACGACCCTGACCCACAGACCCCTCCCTGACCCACAGACCCCTCCCTGACCCATAGACCCCTCCCTGACCCACAGACCCCTCCCTGACCCACAGACCCCTCCCCAACAAGACCCCTCCCTGACCCACAGACCCCTCCCTGACCCACAGACCCCTCCA